TTCTATTACAATATAAATTCTAATATTTCTATTCTAGGACATGAAAATGTGAAAACAGCGACATAATCAGCGACATAATCATATGGTTCGAATTAATTGTGCAGTTGAAAAAAAACCAAGAACCAAAGGTCTTTACACAGAATTTATCAACAAAAATGGAGTTCTTTTTACCAGCTTAATATGTTGATAAATTGACATTCCTAAAAATTCATTTCAGACAATTGCACCTTCTCAAATTGTTTCTTTTTAAGAACCAAAAAAATTTGTGCCAAAATAATAGATGCCAAGAAGAGCAAGAGACCTTGGACACGTAACGGATCTTGAAGCACTATTTCTGCATCCCCCTGACCAAATCCACCCACATTAGGATTACTCGTTAATGGTTGATCAAGTTTGATAGATTCACCCTCTGAAACAAGAAGTTCTGGTCCTGGCGGTATAATATCAATCACTTCACGTCCATCTGATGCATCTACTATCGTTATTTCGTATCCACCTTTTTCTTTTCGTATTATTTTGTTTACTACACCCGTTGCTGTAGCATTATAAACATTATTATTACTCTTGCTTCCGTCGGGATAAATCTGACCCCTTCCCCTGTTCCCGCCTACGTATATAGGATATTTTAAGAAGTAAACATCTCTCTTAGTAGCGGGATCTGGAGAAAGAATAGGAAAGGTAATTTCACTATATTTTTTTCCAGGAACGGGGCCTATCACAAGAATATTTTTTTTTGTGGGACGATAGCTTTGAAAAGACAAATTACCTATCTTTTCTTTAATCTCGGGCGAAAGACGATCAGGAGGGGCCAATTCAAAACCCTCTGGTAAAATAAGAACAGCTCCCACATTCAAAGCCCCCTTTTTACCATTAGCAAGAACTTGTTTCACTTGCATATCATAAGGAATTCGAACAACTGCTTCAAATACTGTATCGGGAAGTATCGCTTGTGGAACCTCAATATCTACGGGCTTATTAGCTAAATGGCAATTAGCACATACAATCCGGCCGGTAGCTTCTCGAGGATTTTCATAACCTTGTTGGGCAAAAATAGGATATGCATTTGAAATGGGTGCTCGAGTTATTATATATATCATGAGCAATACGGAAATGGATCGGGTAATCTCTTTCTTTATTGCATGGTCCAATCATTGATCCTGAAAATTTCTACAATAAGATTAGGTAGGTTACTGGCACAGTTCCCTATCCATGATTCTGCTATTTACTCAATTCTTTTCTATAATATAGGAAGAATACGAGTAAACGAAACGAATAAGTTCAATTTTAAATGTTTAGCTTTTCTATACAAAAAACAAATTTTAGAATTGGATCAGTGGTCGTTTTTTCATCCTTCATTGAATGATAAATGACTACAAGCGACGGATAGACACGATTTAAATAACGGAAAATAGAATATTTAAAAATAGTATCTAAAATGACTGGAAACATCGAAACAAGACAAGATAGAATCTGATCATTCGGAGTAAATCCAAAATCTTTATAGACAGACCCAATCATTAGTTCCCAACCCTGAGTCGAATGGAATCCTATACAAAAATCAGTAATAAAAGAATAGAAAAAGCTTTTATTGTGTCACTTAAGTTATATAGAAATTCTTGAACCCAAGAGTTAAGAATAATGAGTTCTTGATTACCTCGAATAGAATAACCACTTAGAATAAGGAAACAGATTATATTTGTACAGAAATGGAAAATCGTTAGTGGATACGATCTAGGTTGTTCGTCTCGATCAATTGGATGGTCTCTTTGTAGATTTCGATACGAAGGTTTTGTAAACGTGTTTCCGGTATTCCTTTAGCATTTCATCCAAGAGGAACAGTTCCTCGAACTCTAGCAATTTCTTTAAATACTTTTTTCTTGAATAGTATTCAAGACAATTTCGGATTCTTTCATATTCCACCAATTAGTAATCCAAGATTCCAGACTTTTCTGAAATGTAAAAGAGATGCACCAGGGCAAAAAGACTAAGATGTAAGACATAGAAGGGGAATGCATGCTTTCTTTTTTGCCATTTTTCGTCTTTAATGAACTCAGTTTCATCTCATTTTTCAACTATAATAATAATAATCTTTCTATCAAGCATAAGTTCTATTACAAGTAAATACAAGTAATAGAGCTTAGCCTAGAATATATCAATTTATAATTTTTCATAGAAATTGAGAAGCTATTCTTTTTATATGTAATTCGGAGGTTAGTTTCTTTTTCCTTCAATTTGAAAAAAGAATCCAAAAGAATACAGAAATCAAATAAGAAAACGAAATAAGCCATTGCCAATTGAATGAAGAAGAAAAAAGTGTTTCAAAAGCTATGAATTAAAAATGAAATTGTTTGGATACAGCGATTTCCATTGGTATACTCAAGAATATGGAACGATTTCCATGGTACACTCAAGAATCTGGACAAGTCCCAAGCTTTTGTATAACGTTGCATGGAGTCCTATCATCAACAGGAGTCAAGGGAATGGTCCCCTGTTCTCTGGTTGCATATAAAGGACACCACTACTAGGTTCTGGGTAGCTTGTAGTATGAGGGGACTGAATATCTTCCATACGAACTCGAGAGAAAATACGACGATATGTTCCAGGAAATCCGTAACGAAAAAAACATACCATTCGATTTTTTTTATCGAAAAAATATAGCCACTCCCCACATTCCAAAAATTAGAAGCCACCAATGTAAACTTAGAAATGAGACCGGCAATTCCATAGAAAGTCAGCGTGACTCCTTGTGTCAAAAAAGGAATGACAAATTCGGACGAAATGAAAGAGAAAAAATCCCTCCCATAATAACTGGAAACTGAAATATATAAAACTCCTATTGAACCTAAAAGAGTGAAAGACGCCCAGAATAAATTGATAATTTTCGGGACCCCGGTACAATGTCAAGCCATGCGTCTTGTGAACGACAACCAAGTTTTCTGACCCCCACTAATGAATTTGGAACATGAACCAATAAAGCAGACATTACAATTAATACAAGGCCCACTAAAAACACATAAACGTTTATCATAAAATGGGTGCCTCAATTCATATTTGTACCTGTTCTTTTTTCTTGATTGTTAGTTAATATTATGTTGTATTTATGAAAACCTCCTTATCTTATTAAGGCTTATATAATATTAGTACTTTTCTTTTTTTTTATTGAAGGCAATAGTATTCAAAAATGGAACCAAAAGAACAAATCCAAACTAAAAAATTAACCTATTTTGCAAAAATATATGAAACTTGTGGGTATCTAAAAAATATTGTTTTTTGAACATGAAGACATAAAGAAACCATTGCAACTGCCGGAAATACTAGGCCTACTAAAGGAACAAAAAGGGATGGTAAGTTTATCATAAAATGGGGTACCTCAATTTCATATTTGTACCTGTTCTTTTTTGTTGATTGTTAGATTAATATTTGATCTTCTTATATTGGAATAAAGAAAGTCTATAATCACTAGAATTCATATAGACTTATACTAAGTCTATTTTTTTAATTCTACTATGTAGAGCTAAATAAATAGATATGAATATATATATATATTCTATATGGAGTATATAAAGAGAATAAACCCATAAGAAAAAAATGGAATAAGATTTATTAAGAATCAAAATCGTTAATTTTAATAATTTGAATATTAAATTAAATATAAGGAATGTCGAACGAAATAACTGGATTTATTTTGCTGTCTATTTCTACAAGAAATATGTCCATGATAATTAATCTTTATTTTTATTCTTATCTTATTACTTTACTCTTGTGTGTTCTCATTTTCTTTTATATCATTTTTATATAATAAGAAGATTTCTTTATGATATTCATTTTATGATATTAATGAAAAGTTAAAAAATTGAAAAACATAAATAAAATGATAGTCTGCATTAGTTTTCATTTTCAATCCAAGGAAAGCAACCATGGAATTCAAATAACTCACTTAAAAAGTCCTTTAAAGAATCACGTGATACGATTGCATCCAATAAGCCTTTTTCGAAAAAAACTTCAGCCGATTGGGAACCTTCAGGCACTTCCTTATTCAACGTTTGTTCAATTACTCTTTTACCCGCAAATGCAAGGTAAGCTTTTGGTTCGGCAATAATGATATCCCCAACATCCAAAACTAGCTGTTACCCCACCAGTAGTAGGCGATGTAAGTATCGCTACATAGAGTAACTTTTGATTGATTTGATAATTATATAAAAGCAGAAGATATTTTAGCCATTTGCATTAAGCTCAAACTTCCTATCTTGCATACGCGCTCCTCCGGACGCACATACTATATATAAGAGGTAATACTATAATAAGAGGTAAAAGTTGATTGGTAGCATATTCGATCAACCGAGTTATTTTCTCACCCACTACGGATCCCATACTACCCCCCAGAAACTGAAAATCCATAATACCTATTGCTACAGGAATACCATTTAGTTGACCTGTGCCTGTTTGAACCGCCTCCAGTAATCCTGTACTTTCTTGATAAAAATCAAGACGATCTATATAAGGTTCGTCTTCCGTAGAAGAGTCGTATTCGTCTTCCGTAGAAGGTTCGTCTTCCGGAGAAGATTCGTCTTCCGGAGAAGATTCGTCTTCCGGAGAAGATTCGTCTTCCGGAGAAGATTCGTCTTCCGTATAAGGTTTGTCTTCCGTCGAAGGTTCGTTAGAAGGTTTGTCTTCCGTCGAAGGTTCGTTAGAAGGTTTGTCTTCCGTCGAAGGTTCGTTAGAAGGTTTGTCTTCCGTAGAAGGTTCGTTAGAAGGTTTGTCTTCCGTAGAAGATTCGTATTCGTCTTCCGTAGAAGAGTCGTATTCGTCTTCCGTAGAAGGTTCGTCTTCCGTATAAGGTTTGTCCCATTCAATGGGATCCAGAGAAAACATGTCTTCATCCATAGGATTCCAAGTACCTGGATCAATCGAAAGTTCGATTCTATCTGAACTGCTCATTTTCAAATGATCTCCACAGTGTTCGCAAATATTCATTTTGGATTTAAAAAATTTCTTATAATTTAATCCAAAGCAACTTTCGCATTCAACCCATAAATGCTTAAATTTTTCAGTATAAGAAGTATCTTTTGGATCATCAGGATATTGTATTGGAGTAAATTTACTATTATTTGTATCATTAGAATATTCTATTGGAGTAAAATCACTATCATTTGTATCATTAGAATTTTCTATTTCATACAAATCACTATCATTTGTATCATCTAAAATGTAACTATTCAAGTCACTGATATTGGCATTGTAGTTGTCACTATCATCTAAATAACGAAGATAACTCTCAATCCAACTATGAATGTCATTATCCATATCAGTTAAAATAGATGGGTCATCAGTTAAAATAGATGAGTCATCAGTTAAAATAGATGGGTCATCAGTTAAAATATATGGGTCATCAGTTAAAATAGATGGGTCTTCATTTACACCGTTATTTTCAATAGGATAAAAACTATCTTCAATAGGATCAAAACTATCTAGGGATTTACTTAAACCACACCTATATTCTAAATCCCTATTAAACAGCAACATTGGATTGAACCACTTTAAAATACAATAGATGAATAGTCATTCGATGATCATTTTTTATCGACTTAAGTATAGAAATAGAATTGCGAGGATTAATAACTTATAATAATAATGAGCGAAGAAGTATTGAACAAATGTATCATTTATATTTGAATATCAAATCAATAACTATTTCTAATATAAAAATGAATGAATAGAATAAAAACAAAGAAGTAAAAAGGCTCATTTGGTCTACGGTATTTATGCACCAAATTAGTTTATTTCTTGACTTTTTCCTAATATGAGGTAGGTTGAGCACCGAATTTTGGAATAAATAGATCACTCAAATCGAAAAATCGAGGATCCCTATTTCTAGATACTAGAAACTAGATAGTATAAAGAAAATAGGGCATGTAAGACTCCGCAGCTAATATAGTCACGTTTTTCAAGTCCCACGCTGCTTTTTACTACATCGTTTCAAACGAGGTTTTACCATAACATTATTTTTTAGTTTCAATCTGGTATGTAATTGATTCCATTTTGAAATCGTGCATAGTCATTGACTCAATCAATAGATAATAATATATACTTTTCACTTCTAGGTTTTAGGTTTTCTGACTATACAATTTTATTTCTAAAGTCAAGAAGTCGAAATTAAGTCAATATTCTATTTTCATGGTTTGTAAATTAAATATAAAAAAATCAATTTCTAAAAAAAAAAAAAGGAATCTTTATTCGGATATACAATTTGTATTGAAATAGGTATATATCTTGAATAGATATGATCTGGGACGGAAGGATTCGAACCTCCGAATAACGGGATCAAAACCCGCTGCCTTACCGCTTGGCCACGCCCCATTTTGATTCGACATAAATAGTATTATGAGTTGTTCGTAAATTACACTTCGAAATTTATTCTATAGAATAAATTGTTGCTAGAATTTTGATATGTATCGATATCGAATTAAACGAAATTTATTGATCATTCCATAGAATTCAATTAAGATATTGTTTGAACTTATTCAGTTCAAATCAAAAAAAGTGGGGGTCTGATCTTAGTTGATTCATCTTTTTTTTTCGTTTTATTACTGATTTAGTAATCTTCATATCTATAAATAGGAATTCAATATTTTATATTCTATCCTTTTAGATTTTCAAATTATTCATTTTCTATTCTATATATTCTCTATTCTATCTAAATAAAATCAAAAAATTTTGATTTTATATTTCATTGTTAATATAAAAGTATAATACAAAAATGGATAATAATAATAATAAATTATATAATAAATCATATCATATATAGAATAAATCATATCATATATAGAATAAATCATCTATATAATAATAAAAAAAATACAATCAAAATTAGAATTAAAAACAAAAGAAAAAAGACAATTCATTTTCTTAAAGAAAAACATTTTTGTTATGCTTAATATCTTTAGCTCGGTCTGTATTTGTATTCACTCTGCCCTTTATTCAAGTAGTTTTTTCTTGGGGAAATTACCAGAAGCTTACGCTTTTTTGAATCCAATTGTAGATTTTATGCCAGTAATACCCTTACTCTTTTTTCTCTTAGCTTTTGTTTGGCAAGCTGCTGTAAGTTTTCGATAAGATCTTTAATTTGAATAATGTCCGAAAAAAAAGTCAGAATTTATTAGAAAACTCAAATTTTAACATTTTTAAAAATAAGATAAGTCTTACAGTGTGAATCCGTGATTATAAATCTTGAAATTGTTGGATAGACAATAAAAATATGGATCATCTCATCATTTCCTTTTTTTCCATTCAAAAATAAAAATTATATTATTCTATTATTCGATTTGAGTCTACCACCAATACGTGGATCTTGTGGATATGAAAGAAAATTGAATTGTTGGTAATGGTAAAACAAAGGCTCAACTCTTACTACAAATCAATTTTTTTAGTTTTTTTGAAATAACTTCATTTCTTATAAACTGAGTATCAAAGGAAACATAATATGAAATACAAGAGAATCTATTCTCTTTCTCTGTCGTTTTTTTTTTTTTATTATCTTGGAGATTTTGTAATGCTTACTCTAAAACTATTTGTTTACACAATAGTGATATTCTTTGTTTCTCTTTTCATCTTCGGATTCCTATCTAATGATCCAGGACGTAATCCTGGACGTGAAGAATAAGAAAATCTTTGTTCTTTTCCGTACTTATGCTGGATTTTTAAATATTTTTCGTTTTTCTATCTATTTTACATCTTTAACTAGTAAAAAATGAAACAAACAGGGAATAAAAAAAAAAAGAAATTCCAGAAGTTCAAAAGAAAAAAATGCCAAATCATCAATAAACGGAAAGAGAGGGATTCGAACCCTCGGTACAAAAATTCGTACAACGGATTAGCAATCCGACGCTTTAGTCCACTCAGCCATCTCTCCCCAATTCAAAAAATTGAATTATTATGCTTATGATACCTCGGATAAACAAAAAGAACAAAAAGTAGGGCTCAAAAAAGCCTTCTATATATCTTATTTGATATTGATCGTCATTTGATATATCTTATCTATCTATCTTTTTTCTATTTGATTATCATTTTATTTAATTACTATTCATAATTCTATATTAACTCATAAATATTAGTTATATTTTCTTATACCTATACTAAAGTTATATTCTATATATACGCAATATAAAATTTTTTCTTTTCTTTTTTTTTTAGTTTGTTTTTTTATCCAACCAGAGTCCAGCTAGGTACTGGCACGGCTCTTTTTTCCCATGAATCACAATGATTTATTTTTCTGTATCAGATTTGAAAGAAACTTGTAATTAAGGAAAACATTTTAATACGATCAAACAAAAATAAAAATAACTTTTTGATCGTATATCATACGAATTAATCAGTTAACGTATCTAAAAAAAGAAATAGAACTATGGATTCTTGCACAATGCATTTTTGTCTTATGAATTTCGTTTAGTAATTTTGTCGAGATCTATCTGTCAAAATACCTTCAACAAAATCCAAAAATGAGATTCGCCCCCTTTTCTAAATTTCATTAGGGGGCCCTTTACGAAACATGTGAACACTGTATTTATCATAAAATTCTGCACCTATTTCATAATTAGGACTGATTCCCCTTCCTGTATTGATATTGACAAAAGATCTTTTTATATACAATAATAGTATTGTAGCGGGTATAGTTTAGTGGTAAAAGTGCGATTCGTTCTATCGACCCCTTAATAGTAATAGTTAAGGGGTCCCTTCCGTGATTCATATCACGATCAAAAACTTTATTTCTTACTTAAAGGTATTTAATCCTTTATACCTCTCAAGGAGCAATTCGAGGAATAATATACATTATCATAATTTGTATACAATTTAGAATTGATTCTAAAATTATGAAACATAAGTTTTTGCAATTGGATCCAGAATCCCAATTTTTGAATATAAGTAAAGGATCCAGGGAGAAAGATATATAAAATTCGTTTCCAATCGTAACTAAATCTTCCAATTTTTTTATTATTTGTTTTGTATAGGAGAGATTGAAGCAAAATAGCTATGAAATGATTTTTTTAGTTTACTAGAAACATCAACATATTTTTTTAGCTCGACGGAAATTTTATTCTTTTCCTAAAGATTCTCTCAAATAGAAATAGAGAACGAAGTAACTAGAAAAAAAGAGATTGTTCGAATACTCCTTTTCTATAGGGATCATCTAAAAAGCAACGTTAATTGTATTCATACCGAAAGGCTGACATAGATGTTATGGATTCTTTTTTTCATGTATTCCATCTATCTCTTAAATTATTCTGTAAAGGAGCTGAATGAAACAAAAAGTTTCACGTTCAGTTTTGAATTAGAGACGTTCATTCATAAACGTCGACTATAACCCTTAGCCTTCCAAGCTAACGATGCGGGTTCGATTCCCGCTACCCGCTTATATTCTATTTTTTATTTAGTAAATTTCTTCATTTAGTTTTAGTATAGAATTCTTTTTTCTTTCCCTTTTCACGAAATTTTCGTGAAAAGGGAAAAGAAAAAAAGAAAAGCGTCCATTGTCTAATGGATAGGACAGAGGTCTTCTAAATCTTTGGTATAGGTTCGAATCCTATTGGACGCAAATTGATTACATATTGAATTGATTGCAATTGCATATATATTAATTGAATTCGTATATTTATAAAAATATATTGTGAATTTATTATCTTTATGATTCTTTTTTTTAAGAGACTAATGATAGAAATTTTTTAACGGTATGAAAATTTTAATCAATTTTTTTCTACTTGTTCCTGAAGTAAAAAGAGTTCCATCTGTTCCTGAATAGCTTCCTTCAAAATGGCTTCTGCTTCCCAGTGAATGTCTTGGTAGAAGATATGATTTCGTTGAATTTAGGTTTATTCGTTTTTAAATAAGCCCGGAACTCAAGGAGAAATTTCCTTACCTGTTCAATTTCTAATGAATCAAGATAACCGGTTCGTTCCAGTATAAATAGTTATTATCTGTTCTTCACAGTAAGAGGAGCTGATTGGGATTGTTTAAGCAACTCGCGCAATCGTTGACCTCTTGCCAATTGATTTTGCGTGGCTTTATCGAGATCTGAAGAGAATTGTGCAAAAGCTTCTAATTCTGCGAATTGTGCCAATTCCAATTTTAATTTACCAGCTACTTGTTTCATGGCTTTTATTTGAGCCGCCGATCCAACTCTGGAAACGGAAATACCCACATTAATTGCGGGTCTGATCCCAGCATTGAATAAATCGGCAGATAAGAATATTTGGCCGTCTGTAATAGAAATTACATTAGTAGGAATATAAGCTGAAACATCTCCTGATTGG